TTTCCTCTCTCTTAATAGGTCCTTAAATATTTAAATTCAGATATTCTTGGAATAAAGGTCCAGTCTAATGTTTCTCACCTTTGAACTTTTAGCTTTATATAAAAGTGTTTTAAACACTTTTCGTTTTGAAGTTTTTTTTCATTTTGAAAATTACCTAATCTGTGTGTATAATGCACATTCACCCCCACTCTGCATTATAATCTCACAATGAAATATTGTTATCTTATTTCTGTACCTGAGCATAAGAGCCCAACCCTAGTGGTACACTGAAGAACCACTGTAAGTGACTTTGGCTAATGAACAAAGAACATGATATACTTTGTATGTATATGGGCTCTTCTGTCAACTGAACATGAAAATTCATTGTGTTCCACAAAGACTCCCAATAACTCTGACATAGGCAAATGGTGACAGAGAAGATTTTGACATCCCAAAGAGGATATCTGTCAGAGTTCTCAGTCCCATACTCAAAAGTGGCTAATTTGTTTATACCCTTTCCTGATGAATATTCATAATTTGTATAATTTTAGTCTTCCAATTCTGTTTTTAAACAACTGAATCTAGTCCTGTGACTGTTACATTTAAATGTAACTACATTTTACAAAAGCAGGACACAATAAAAAATAAAAATTAATTTCTTGTGTCTCTCTGATGCATTAAACAACATAGTATGAAAGAATTTATGTCAGTGCCTGAATGAAAATTCATACAGTTTCATGAATTTTCTCATTGCTATTATATAGCATAGAGCCCCAATTTCCATAGGTGTTGAATAAGGCCTCTAACAGAAATTTAAATCCAATCCAAATGTATCCCTGCATCTGTGAACCATCTTCTATCCATCCACCCTCCCCCACAGCACAATAGGGTACGTATGATTTACAACAACTAATTGCCTACTTCAGAATAGCTAATAGGATTTTATTCATTTTTAATAATAAATGTTTAAGTGTTACATGTATATGTTGCAATGTTCTGATCATTACATATATTGAAGTATCACTTTGTACCACATGTAATGCCATAGAATTATTACGTTCATTAAAAATAAAAAAGACACAAAAATTTTAAAAAATAAGTTAAAATGCCCAATGTATGTTATTTTTAAAGTTTTAAAAGTTCCTTCACTCTCTACCTTCAGTTGAAATCTGAGAACACTAAATACGAAAACTGAATAGAGAAGTCTAAAGTTTGTTCAAAGAAGGGATAATTATTCAGGAAGGAGAAAAGTCTTACGTGTCTTGGTATTTTAATAAGCTGACTCACTTGTCTATGGATGTGCCAGATGTTAAAATTCTTTTTTTTTTCCTTTCTCTTTTGGGATATTTTGAAAGTCTTTTCAAAATATCCCCCTTGGCATTTTGATTGTAGTTTCCTTGATGTAGAATGAAAATATCTATTCCTTTTGGTTCCTGGTGACTCCTCCTTAGGCCTTTAAAATGGTGTAGGCTTCATCATGATGCTTTGGGACCTGGTTCCTATAACACCTCCTATATCTGCTTTGGCAGACAATGAATCTCTTACACTGAGAAATCCTATCAACATAGAAACACTGTTAATGTAGGTTGATATCACCAGCAACCCTCAATGGTTTTTTTTTTTGTTGTTGTTGTTTTGTTTTGTTTTTGTTTTTTGGTCGGGCATTGACTATTTCTGCCTAGATGTTTCTGATCTCCTGGGACCAGCAATTGGGAAGGTTCTAAGCTCTCAGATCAATACACAAATGAGCAGATACACACACACACACACACACACACACACACACACACATAAATAAAAGTGAGTGACAGGCACATCTCCCCAAAGCTATTTTCAGAAATCATTTTCCCACTTAATACATTGACCAAGGGTTTATATTCTTTTCCTAGTTTTGCAAATTCATACCTTTATAAGGCCCTCTGGTAAGGAAATAGGCAGTGTGATCTGGATGCACCCTGTAATTTCATATTCATGATCTCTAGTCAAACTTTAAAATTTAACATATTAAAACATGGGAGATGTTGATTCATGAATGACTTGCCTTTCTTAACAGTGAAATTTGAGGAAATTTCATTGAAAAAGGGGCAGAACATAATTTTAATGCAATAAACATTGCTTTGCCTTCACTGTAAAGGTACATTTTAGAGACAAAGGTTTGTACACTTAAACTTATCTGAAAACAGAAAAATTTAAAGCAAATTGAACAAGGACTAATTTTAGAAAAGGGTAAAGAGGAAAGCAGAGGAGTGAGTAGATAGAAACAATGTTTGAAAACCAATTGGGTTAGAGGAAGAAGTCAAAGTGATCTCATGAACTATCTAAGACAGCTCCTGTAAAGTCCCTTTGTGATCTTCATAGTGAAAAGGGCCATTTTTTTAGTTCCCTATTTCTACATTCAGTATTGAGGCTTCTTAAAACAAAAACAAAAAACAAAACAACAACAACAAAAACCAAAAAAAACCCAAAAACAAAACAAAACAAAACAAAAAACAAAAACCACCACCACCACCACCACCAACAACAACAAAAAAACCCTCAGGATTCTGGAAAGTATCATCACTAGAATGTGAACAGATAAAAGAAAAGTATAATTTAGAAGTAATTTCAGCATCAGTCACTTCAAATAGCTAGGTGATAGGGGGCCTGTAGACCCAAGAGGGTGGCAATCATTCAGGGCATACTGAGGCACATGCAACCACCAATCTTGTCCCCTTACTCCAACCTGTGGGTCAGCGGAGAACATCACCTTGTAAGGTAGAAGGTTAGGACCTGAATAAGCAGAACAGGGCTAAGGAATGACAACACTTGCCTCCAGGCTTGTCTATGATATCAAAACACTTTCTCAATTTCACCACAGGAAAAAAGGGATTTGGCATTTCACACAGCAAACTCTAGCTGTTTAAAGTGAGTCAGTTTAATAGTAATGATGAGAACCAGTCATTGACAAAAATAGTCAAAAGGAGACAGCCATGTGAAGATTAGTGGGATGAAGATTCCAGAGGGGGAAAGCTCTGATTTGGCAGAGGAACTGCCAGGGCATTTCCAAGGAAATATAAAAGACCAATGGATTGAATGAAATGATCCATGTAGAGAACAGAGAGAAGAGGTCACAGATGTAGACTCCGTGGTGCCAATACACTTAAGTTCAGCCCTTCTTGAAGCCCCAAAGAGAATGAAGACTATTGTTACTGCTTTAAAATGACCCAAAGTTAAAACATTCTTCCAGGACACAGGTAGCTCTTCTGTGCTATAGAAGACTTGAACAATACCTTTCCAAGTTGTGAACAGATATTGTAGCAAATTTCTATTTTTCTCTTAATTTTTAATTGTAGAGCAAACTTCAGAATACCCTCTGGAATACTTCACAGTATGGTACCTATCACAACTTCATTTTCTTTATGTTTTCTGCTTATGAACAGTAAAGAAAAAAATCCATAATAACATGATTATTTTGTTTTTTATGAAAATATTAAGGTGGTTTTATGTTATTATAATAATATGATGTGAATATTAAAAAGGATCTTAAAGTGAAGTTCTTAAATTTATATTTGTGTGGAAGAAATAATAACTTTATAAATATCAATATAATAATGTAACATTAGCTTTACTTTTACATTTCTTTTTTTATATTTGTAAGTTTTACTTACTATAGGATCCTATTATCAAACTATAATTGCTTGTCCTAACGAAATCTCAATAGAAATTAGGTGAGCCTGCTAATAGAATCATTCTCAGACTACTCAATATGAAGTAGCCTCCAAAATAGCCTTCTACGTCCATAAAGGTCTCTCTGTTTATTTTTTAGTTACTTATTCATTATCTTCTTTTTTCCCCTAACTATATTCACTTTTTTAATGGCTCTTGTCTTCTAAAAGCATTTATCAGACAGCTATTACAAATCTACTAGGTGCCAGGTGAAGTGGTACATGCCTGTAATCCCAGTGGCTCAGGAGGCTAAGGCATGAGGATGGCAAATTCAAAGCCAGTCTCAGCAATGGTGATGCACTAAGTCACTCAGTGAGACCCTGTCTCTAAATAAAATAGATACAAATACAAAATAGGCTGGGGATATAACTCAGAGGTCAAGTGCCCCTGAGTTCAATTCCCAGTACCGCCCACACACACACACACACACACACACACACACAAAAAACAAAGTTAGTAAGGTTGGGCACAGGGGCACATAACTACAATCCTAGCAGCTTTGAAGGTTGAGGCAGGAGGATTGCAAGTTAAAATCATCCTCAGCAATTTAGCAAGGCCCTCAGCAATTTAGTGAGGCCTGTCTAAAAAATAAAAACATGTTCAAAAGAGCTGGGGATGTGGCTCAGTGGTTAAGCACCACTGGGTTCAATTCCTGATGGAAAACCAAAACAAAGCAAAAACAAAACTTAGTAGGGAGCCAAACATAAATAACCCAAAGTCCTTCTTTCATGAACATCCAGCAGGGACTACGAGGGAGAGTAGAATGTAGTGAAAGTCATCTGGTTACTGTACAAAGAATTTTTACTTTTGATCATAGTTACTGAGGAATTAAAGGTACTGGGCAGGAGTGGAAGCCTCCTTGAGCTGAACCATGGGGAAGGTTTCTCAAGGAAGGTAGTGCTTGATCTCTTAGGTGGGAACAGAAGTCAGAGAGAAAGCACAACCTGAGGAGGCTGAGAGTGCGTTTTCAGACAGAGAAAAGCAAAGGCCCTGAGGAGAGTAAGGGTTGCCTAGCTGTTTGAGGGAGGAGAGGGCTCATGATGTGCTTGGAGAGGTCAAAGCAGTAGCAAGAGGAGTCAGCATTCCAGGGCAGGGTAGGGGATTCTAAGTGATGGGGAGCAGAGAAGGATATCAAGCAAGAAGGCATCAAAAACTCTGTTTAGCTCACACGATAAATTCACACAGTTTTCTTTAAAAACTCAAATTTAAAAGCTCCCTGTGGGTTGCAGTGGAGAATGGACAGCTTTAGTTCTTACACCATTTCTGAAAGAACAACTAACTCTTATGGGGAACAGCTGCAGTTCTTAGCGTGACAGCTAACTGCCAACCAAACTCCCTTGCTTCATCCAAAGTTTCTTCATGGCATTTTTCACCTCTGCGTTCCTCAGTGTGTAGATCAAGGGATTCAGCATGGGGGTGATGATGGAGTCAGACACAGCCATCGCCTTGTCTATGGGGTAAACAGCCACAGGCCTCACATATAAGAAAATACACGGCACAAAGAACAGCACAACCACTGCGAGGTGGGAGCCACAGGTGGAGAGGGCTTTGTGTCTCCCTTGGGAGCTGTAGGACTTTAGAGAACATAGGATGGCTATGTATGAGGCGATTAGGATGAGGAAGATGGCCATGCACATCACCCCACTGTTGAGGATGACTAAGAGACCCAGAGTGTGGGTGTCCATGCAGGCAATTGTCAATAACTGAAACAAATCACATATAAAGTGATCGATGACATTGGGGCCACAGAAGGGTATTTGATACATGAAGAAAAGCTGTATGGTGGCGTGCATGGACCCGCCGAGCCAGGCCCCTCCCACCAGCAGGCAGCACACTCGAGGACTCATGATGTTGGTGTAGTGCAGGGGCTTACAGATGGCCACGTAGCGGTCACAGGCCATCACGGTGAGCAGGATGATTCCCACACTGCCAAAGAAATGCTCTGCAAAGAGCTGGGTCATGCATCCTTCAAGGGAGATGGTGGTGCTCTCAGAGAGGGAGTCCACAATTAACTTGGGGGCAATAACAGAAGAGTAGGTGACATCCAGAAGGGACAGGAAGGTGAGAAAAAAGTACATAGGTGATCTCAGACTCTGACTTGTAATCATGGTCACCACAATGAGTAGATTTCCCAGCACAATGATCACATACATGATTAGGAATACAGCAGAGAATATTTTCCTCAGCTCCGGGTTCTCTGTAAGACCCAAAAGGATGAACTCTGTCACATTGTTCTGATTTCCCATCTATCTGGTGTGTGTGTGAGCTTCTGTTGAAAGTTGGGACACCTACAAAAAAGCAACATATGATTCGTAGTTCACGATTCATTGACTTCCTGTATTTCTAGGATCCTAGGAACCTGTTGTCTTTCTTAAAAAAAATTCATTTATTCACCAACCAAGCATTTGACTTTTAGGAAAATGTGCTAAATATAAAATTTATAAATGCATACTTCATTAGTGAAAGTTTCCCTCATGTCTTTTCTGTTTTCAAATTGTCCTTCTGAGTTTAATTGGTTTCTCTTCCTCCTTCTTCTAACTTAAGGATTTTTATTATTATTAGCCAACAGTTTTGGACACCTACCTCATTCCAAGCACTATAATTATGCTATGATTATCTTTATCTTTCAAATAAAGACAATGACTTTAATTATTATTACTATGCTCTTTTTCAAAAACAAATTGTCATGGTTCAGGTATGAGGTGTACCCCCAAAGGTGAAGTGATTGGGTTATGAGTTCTGACCTAATCGATGCATTAATCCCCTGATAGGGATTAACTGAGTGGTAACTGTAGGCAAGTCAAGTGTGGCTGGAGGAGGTGGGTTTCTGGGGTCATGCCTTTGTGGTTTCTATTTTGTTTTTGGTCTGCATTGGCCCATCCCTATTTCTTTCTCTCTGCTTCCTGGTGGTCATGTCCTGAGCCACTTTCTTTAACCATATTTTTCTTCCATGATGTTCTACCTCACATTGGACCCCCAAAGAAAGAAGTCAACCATCTATGAACTGAGATTGCTGAAACTGTTAGACTCCAAATAAACTTTTCCTCCTCTAATTGTTCTTATCTGGTCTTTTCGTCATAGCTACTAAAAATCAGAATAAAACAAATATGGTAATGCTTTTATAATTTTGTGTTTTACTTCTAAAATTTAAGTGATCATATATTCTTAAAACTGCTGATTATATAATCCCCAATACATGCTGTTCAATGATGAAAATTTCGCCCAACAGTTTCTCTGTCCTCTAAATGCAGCAAAAGATTCTTGAGCATAATAATGAGAACTAGAAACATTAGTTTTCAGGTTGATTATCTTGTTGGGCACTGTTCCATGTATGACCTCATGTAAACCAGATGATGCCACATGAGTAGGAACCGTTACTCCTCCCACGAGAATGAGACACTGAAACCTTGGAAAGCTATGTTATAATTTTATGATTAGCATTTTGTGGAGGCAGTGTTTCTATCACACAGATCAAATTTTTACCTATTATATCCAATGATCAGAAAAGAGAAAAATACATAGTGTGGTACTTAAGAAAGATTGCTATTACAACCAAGAGGAAAAGTTACAGTGGAAACATGGCTTGCCTTGCCAGGTATTTTGTAGGAGACATTGGCTGACCCATTGAAGGGATTTTACAAACATTGTAGCTTTTTAGAAAATTAGATTGCATCATTTCATGAATGAGGTCATTCTTGGTATGCCGTAATCTGCCTCTTCTCCAACCATTACACAAAGCACAGAGCATTCACAGGGGACTAGAAGTGCCCTGCTTTACAAAATCCTTTCCTTCCTCGCTAAGGCCTTTATTGCAAAAACCTTTGTAAATTTAAAGAGCACTGGTTCAGGATTCAGAAAATGAAAAGCGGATTATATTGCAAGATGCCTTCTTAGTATAGTCTGTCCCATCGTCATCCTGCTGGCATCTCTGAGCCTTGGTTTCCTCATCTGCAGTGTAAGGATAACCCACTGGATAAGCAGCAGCAGAAGTGACTCTGTTCTCTTCAAACATAAACACTCAATTCTTTTTCACAGTGATTGCTTAGGCCTCTAGTTTCAATTTCCTTAGGGGGTGGTTCATTCATGTTTATAACTTTCGAAGGTCAAGGCTCTAGGTAATATCCACACATTGTTTCCATAAGGCTTGGTGCTTAGAGCAGCTTACTCTGGACACAGAACAAAATTCAACTTTCCACCTGACATGTGATTTATGCTGTCTGTCCCGGTCTTCCTTATCTACTGGACTTACTGTGCTCTGTGCTTTACCCCAACTCCAGTCCCTCATGTTTCTGCCAGACCCATATCCTGTTTCTTTCCACCCATGGCTTCCTTGTCTCAGGGAACGTTACTGGATCCAGACACAGCAAATCAGCTCTGTGTTCCAGCCAGTTTATGAACCAGCTTTGTCATGGCCACCTGTCTGTGTCTCAGTGTCTGCAGCAGTGTGATTAATACACCATAGCTACAATGCTTATATTGTTTACTAATTATGGGCACTATGCAAAGAACTGTTTCTTAATTATCACAAACAGCCTTATGAAGTGCATATTTTTATTGTCTGGATTTCCAAAGAAGCAACTGAGAGAGACTAACTTCCTCACACTTATCAGAGTTTAATTGCTATTTCTTTTTCAAGCAGGTCCAGTGATACCTTTAACTTGCTGTTGTCTTTTAATATTTATATTTCTAGACATATCTGAGCCCAAGCCAAAATAATAAACAGTACCTGGGTCTTCCTGCTCAGCGCCGAGACCATCAGCTGCCTCTGTGATATTTTCCTGCACAGTGCATCAGTAAGGAGCTGTTCTTTAAAATGTTGTTCTGGTGAGGACGGGGAAAACTGTAACTAATTTCCTTTTTGCCAGTTGTCTTCCCTCACTTTGCCTAAGCATTAACATCGACAGGTAGCATAATAAAATACTGTTGGATGTGGCTCATTTCTTTCGTTAAGAGGATGAATTAGTAAATTCAAATCAATGCCACTGCCATGATATCTGTCACCTCATTGGCACCAACACCACCATTGTCACCATCCATCCCTGCAGCCATTCTTATTGGTAGAGACATGACTAAATGTGGAAGCTATGTTTTGACACATAGGGAAATATTAAAAAAAAAACATGATTACTAAATTGAAACCATCAATCTCACTTAGTACTTAATATATAATTAAGTTTTAAGGAAAATAACGCATTTTATTTTCTTGGTCAGCAATTAGAGGCAACTGGTATGGAAGAGGGAGAGAAATCACTCTGTGGGCCTGTGTAAAGGAAAGAGAAAGATGGGGAAAAGATGGAAAAAGAACAGAAGAAACAAATATGTATGCAAAGAGAGAGAAAAAAAGGGATGTGTGAAGGGAGGGAAAAATAAAAAAAGTAAAGATTAAAGTAAAATAGAAAAAAAATGCATAAAAGAATCTCTTAGTAACCATTTTCAGGTAAGTATTCTCTTTCTTGCTGCCTGTGAGCCGTTTTTTGGAAATCCTACATTTTATTTACCTATTTTTATTTTATTCTTTTCTCTTAGAGGCATGTTCATTCAACAAATAGATAAAGAAAAATGTGGAGTCTTAGCCATGAAGAAGAATGAAATGACGTCTTTTGCTGGTAAATGCATGGAACTGGAGAATATCATGACAAGTGAAATAAGCCAGACTCAGGGAGTCAAGAGATGAATAGTTTCTCTCATGCATGGAAGATACAGAGAAATAAGAAAATTAAAAGAAAAAGGAGCTTTTGAAAGTAGAGGGGAGAACAGTGCAGTAGACAAAGAGGGATCAAGAGGTAGGGAGGAGGGTGAGAAAGGACAGGAACTGCAGAATGAAACTAATCAAACTGCTATATCATGCATGAACATGTCATAATTCCACTAATAAGCACAACTATAATGCATCAATTAAAATATATATATATATATATATATATATATATATATATATATATATATTACAGTATTTAAATGGACAAATCATGTTATATGCATTTATAAATGTGTCAAAAAACTCCACAATCATATATAAATGTAATATACTAATAACCCAATCTAACACAAGATTAAACAAAAATATAAATTGAAGTTCTTGAAGTTCCTTATTCAGAGAATAAATAACATTCACAGATGAAACAAACAGGTATTGAGTTTGAACAACTGAAATACTTTTAAAGTAATAGATATATTTGTACCAAAATAAAGTTAATATAAAATCAATTCAATTAGTCATACCTTGCAAGTGATTTTTATGCTATAATTCTATACAATGGCTAAATCTAAATATTAAATACTTAACCAAATAAGATTGGTGTTAGTGTGAAGTTTTACCAGATGTTCAAAAGTGGAGACTGAAATTCTGTGATCATATCACATTGAAGTTTTATTCACATGAAGTAAACATCTTCAAAGAACCCAAGAACAGGTGAAATTTTTCAGCTTGATTCTTCTAACTGTAGAAGATAGATACTTGGGGAGTAGGGTAAAAATCATCTACCTATTCAATCTTGGTCAAATTCATAAAACTAGGATTTTTACTGATTTCCAAGAAAGATTTAAAGCAAAGGTTTAAAACAGAAGTTTTACAATTCTCTGAGCCTAATAAGGAAATAACCTTTTTGGTCACCAAGGGATTTACCTCTCTCCAATTAAGAACAATTGTTAAGGTGTTAGCCAAGTATAGCCTTCAATAATTCATTTTATCTTTCTTTCAAATTCCAGTTGACTATATTTAGATGAAAGCAGAATGTCTTGGTCCATCTTTCTTAAGAGGTACATCAGAGTATGAGCTCTCTTCTGGGTGCCAGACCTGGGCTATAAGAGCGTGGCCATTGAGGAGCTGTGACACTGCATCCACTTGAGACTTCTTCTACCTGATGAAGGTGCAGATCTCTAAGGCAAGCATTCTCACCTACCTAGGTTTCTAATAGGGTATTCTCCTAGGCTGAAGTATCCCTGAGGTAAAACCAACAGGCCTCTCCACAGGCAGAAAATGATAGCCCAGTATTAACCATGTCATTATTGGCTCCTTCACTGTGATCTGAACCTCAATTACATGATGGCCACAATCTTAAAATGACTAGAATATATAAATGGGAAGGGACCTGAGTCAAATATCATGTCTATACTCTATTTTGCACTCAGGAGGCATATGTGAGTCCCAAAAGTTGTCATTATGCTCAGAACATTTTTGTCCATGCACAGAAATGATTTAAATCATTTCCAGTAATTTAAGAATGGTGTTTTAAAATAATATTTT